AGTGCCCTGCCACAGAGGCAGGGTGGGACAGGGGGATGGGGGGTGGGAGGGATACTGGGATCAGTGGTGGTGGAAAATGGGCACTGGTGGAGGGATGGGTACTCGATCATTGTATAATTGAAGCGCAAGCACAAAAATTTATAAGTCTACAAGTGTACCTCATGGTGTTTCACTAATAAAAATGAAAAAAAAAAGAATTTTAGGCATTTTAAATTTTATTTCTTTGAAAAGTAACATGGGTATCCTTATAATAAGGACTGTGTCAGTTCAATATAATACTTTGGGGGAGTATAGCCATTTTAATGGTATTAATCCTACCAATCAATGAGCAGGGAATGTATTTCCATTTTCTTATGTCCTCATAAGTAGTATTTATAGTTTCTTTGTATTTGTTTTTCACCTCTACTGTTAAGCTGATTTCGAGTTACTAGTTTTTCTGAAGCACAACTGTGAACAGATTGTTTTTAAATATCTTTTTCTTCTCCCTTCATTATTTGCATATAAGAAAGCCATGACCTTTTGTGTATTACTTTTGTAGCTACCACTTTTCTATACAGATATATTGCTTCTAGGAGCTTTTTTGTAGAGTCTTTAGGATTTTCTAAGTATAGTATTAGGTCTTCTGCAAATAGAACTTGACTTCTTTCCTTTTTATCTGGATACCCTTGGTTTCTTTTCTTGCCTAATTGCTATGGTGAGTACTTTCACTACTATATTGAATAAAAGTGGCAAGAGTGGGCAATCTTGTCCTTTGCCTTGTGTTGGAGAAGGTTTTTACTTTTCCCCCATTAAATATAATGTTTGCTATAGGCTTGAGGTAAATGGGTTTGATTGTATTGAGGAAAGTTTCTTAAATTCCCCCTAATTTTCCCCCCTTTTTGGATCATACTCGATGATGTACAGAGGTTAATTCTGGCTCTGCACTCAGGAATTACTGCTGGTGGTGCTTGGGGGACCATATGAGATGCTAGGAATCGAACCCTGGTTGGCCGCATGCAAGGCCAGTATCCTAACCCCATGCTATCACTCCAGTCCCTAAATTCCCTTTTTGTTGAGAGTTTTTATCATTAATGGATGCTGGATCTTGTCAAATGCTTTCTCTGCATTTATTGATATGATCATATGATTTTTATTTTTTCTTTTGTTGGTATGATATATTATGTTGATTGACTTGCATTTGCTAAACTATCCTTGCCACCCTGGGATAAATTTTACTTGGTCCTGGTGTATGATCTTTTTGATAAATTATTGGATCCTATTTGCTAGTATTTTGAACCTATTTAATTATTTTTTCAGTGTTCTAGACTAGGGCTGGGAAGGGTTTGGTTTTGTTTTTTCCAGCAGGGATGGGGAGTTGGGGTAGGTTACACTTGCTGATACTCAGGTACTACTCTTGGTTCTGCACTCAGGGGTGCTCAGATGTGATACCAGGGATTATACCAGATTGGCCAAGTGCACAACAACTCCTTAACTGTTGCTCTCTCTTTCCAGCCTTTGTTTTGTTTTTGGGCCACATGTGGTGGTGCTCGGTTTACTTCTAGCCCTGTGTTTGGGAATCACTCCTGGTAGCCTGGGGTTCATAGTGCTGGGAATCAAATCTGGTTCACGCTGGGTATTGCACTTGCCTTCCTACTCTACTGTATCACTCTGGCCCAGGTTTGCATTTTAAAAATGGGATCAGACTGTGGTATTCTGAACCTGAATTTATTTATCTTTATCTGTCTTTATGTGGGGGAGGATATTCAGCAACACAGTTTGTTTAGGGCCCAGTCCTGGCTCTGTTCAGGAGTGACCCCTGGGGATTGATCCTTGGGGGACTATATGCAGTGGGAGGAATGGACTTGGGGTTGCCATAATTAAGGTTAGCACTTTGCCTTCCATACTGTCTCTCTGGCCCCTTTTTATTTATTTTGAAAAGCCAGTGATACTAGGGAAAGTGAACTCAGGGCCACTCCCCAACTTAATTTTCTTTTGCTTGTTAATTTTTGTTTCTTCTGCCCCTTTTCCTTGTCATTGGATTACTGTAGGTAGCCCATACACCTGGCTATGGAGATCACTGTGGGTTGTGCCTGATTGCATACTGGCTTTGGTCTTTTTTCAAATTGGTAGTTTAGTTTTAGGAAGGTTTGGGGCTATACCAGGCTACTTCTGGCTCTGTGCTTGGGGCTCACTGCTGGTGGTGCTGCCAGGAAAAGGGCCAAGTGGGGTCAAACTGTGGACTTTTGTATGCAAAGTATGCTTGCTCTCTAGACTTTTGGGCTGTTTTCCTGGCCCTCAGCTGTGGTCTTAATTGGGTATTTATTTTGTCCTTTTTGCTGAGCCACAGATCAAACCTAGTAGTTAGTTATTTTATACCAAATGCTTTACGGGCTATATATTACTATGTAATTATTTAAAAAAAATCCTTATGATGGTAAAAAAAAATCCCCCCCAGTATATACTTGAGCAAATTGAAGGTCAGAGAGGGAAGTATCCAAACTAGAGTTCAAATCTATTTTAATCCTTTTTATCTTTGATTTGTGCTTATCTGTCCTTTTCTATAGTATCTTTTGAGGTTTTGCATTATAAAAGTGATATATTCTCCTATAGGACCCTAAACATACTGACAATATAAGGATAAAGAAATCAGAAATCTTGGGATTGGAGAAATAGTATAGCCGATAGGGTACTTGCTTGAATGTGACCTACCTGGATTTGATCCCTGGCATCGTAGGAGTGATTCCTGAGTGCAGAACCAGGAGTAACCCCTGAACATCAGTGGCTGTGGCACAAAAAAACCAGTCTCACCAATCTTAAGTTTCCATGATATATGATTGTTATATATGCTTTTACACAATTAAAATGACACTGGATAATTTAGCTTTTGTTTTTAAGTTAACTATGTTTTTGTTTTTGAGGCACAAATGATGGTGTTCAGGGGCCTCTGTCTCTCCTTTGCTCAGGGATGGCTCCTGGTGGTATGTGGGGGACCATGCCCAGGATCAAACCTGGACCTCCTATGCGCCAAGCATTGCCCCAGAGTGTTTGCTAGCTTTCCAGCCCTAGACATTGGACGATTTTGAACCTTAAAATTTCTTAGACTGTTCTATAGAAGCATATCTGGAGGTGGGGTGGGAGCTAAAGCTATGGAAATCTGGCTGTTCCCATCTGTACCCAGGGCTTCTCCTGGCTAAATCCTCAGGGCTTGCTGCTGATGAGGGACTGTGTGGGGACCATCAAGGCAGGGCCTCCTGCATGCAGAGAATGTGCTTTAGCACATTGAACTGTACCTCCAGCCTGCTATATTAACACTTATTTGCATAATTGGTGGCATATTAATGTCTGGGTGGCCTAAAGTATGATTACAGGGGGTATTTGGACATTTAGTTATTACTACTTTTGTCTCATTGAGATGGACACTTTCTCATATGAGATGAGGGAACCATGCAGTGCTGGGGATGGAACCTGGGTTCCCATATGTAAGATGCAACATGCACACTCCACTCCTTTAAATTATCTTTCTAGCCCCATCTGTTCTTCTCTTCCTATTGTCTTTATTAGTGTTATTTTTGAAGTGTAGTTAAGTGTACTTGTTTTGTTTGCTTTCAATTGTATTTATTTATTTATTTTTTACACATGTAGACAGTTTTTCGCAGTAAAAATACTCAGAGCTGAGAGAAGATACAGTGGTTAAGGCACTTGCTTTGCACCTGGCTGACCCAGGTTCGAGCAATAGCACCACTTATGGTCCCCTGAGCATATAAGCCCCCAGTAATGCCAGGGAGTGTCCCCTGAGCACCCCCCCCCCAAAATCCATATATACAAAAACAAAATAAGTAAAGATAATCAGACTCGGGGACAGGGGAACAGCTCAGCAGTAGAACCTGACTTTGCTTTTATTATGCCCTGGGTTTGGTACCTGGGACCAGAGATTAAAAATGAGAAAAACAAAACAAGATTCTTCACAGTCCTCCCCATATATACTGCATCTGCTCTCTTTAAATTAAAGATTTTGTACCACCAACTGTTCTTCCTATGCCTTAGATAGTTTTCTTTATTCTGCATTATTGTTTTTAGCATAAAACATACTTTTTATTTTTCCTCATCTTAAAAAGCAAGATCCTTTTTTCCCCTTCTAGTTTATTGGACCTTCCTTTTTAATCACTAGTGGTTTCTGTGTACATTTCCTTGGCCCCTTTGGCCCATGATTGCAGGTCTTGAGCCATTACACTTTTCTTTTTCTTTTTTTTTTCTGGGGTCACACCTGGCGATACACAGGGGTTACTCAAGAATCATTTCTGGCGGTGGGATCATATGAGATACTGGGAATCAAACCCTGGTCAGACGTGTGCAAGGCAAAAGCCCTACCCACTAAGCTGTTGCTCCAGCCCTGAGCCATTACATTTTATGTCTGCATTTATACTTTGATTTCACCCTACAGCTGTAGGTACTGTTCGCAGCTTTGGTAATTACCAATTTAACATCAGCGATCAAGATGTCTGTACTGAATGAGATTATACTACCTGACTACTTAGTTGGCATCTTTTCTTAATTAAACCAAAGCTTACACTCCAATTCTTAATCCTAGATTTCTTTTATCTGTCTTCTCTCTTGTGTAGAGGATTGGAGAGATAACTCTATAAGCTAAGGATAATCTTTGCATGCACGAATCTGCATTTGACCCCCAGTACCTTATGGTCCTTTGTTTAATGGTCTCAAATGCAAAGCTTTTGTATTCCAGCCCATTTATATTTATTTTCCTCCCCATCCCTATTATATTTTGGGGGCTACATTTTGCTGTGCACAGGGTTTCATTCTGGGTTCTGTACTCAGGTCACTCGTGGTGGTGTTTGGGGTACCATATGCAGTGCTGGAGTTTTAAATAGCATCAGCTGCATGCAAGTAAAGTGCTCTTACTCCTGTGCTGTCTCTGTTTATTGAATGTTCTGTATATTTGCAAGAAAAGCTCTGAGATAAAATAACCAGCACAAAGGTAAATGTCGTTGTATATTATCTTTCAGATTTACCAAAAATTTATCTCCTGACAAGATAAATCTAAGTACCCTTAAGGGAGAAGGTGAACTGAAGAATTTGGAGTTGGATGAAGAAGTGCTGCAGAATATGTTGGATTTGCCAACATGGCTTGCCATCAATAAAGTTTCTTGTAATAAAGCATCTATTAGGGTAAGACTTTTGATTTCTGTGGCAGTATTTTCTGTTTCTATTTTGTTTGGTTTTGGTTTTATTTGGGGGCCATACCCAGTGGTTTTTGGTGCTACCCAGATCCTGATGCTTGAGGGGACCATGTAGTGCTTGGGATCAAACTCAGGGCTCCTCCTATGTGCTCCTCAACCCCTTGAGCCATCTCTCTGGACCTTTGTTTTCTTTTTTGAATTTTATTTCTACCTTCTAAAATATTTTGTTTTAGGGCCTAGAAAGACAGTACAGGAGTTACAGCACAAGCACCCAACCCCAATTTGATCCCCAATCATTTGTACCACATGATTCCTCATAAAGACAGCAGCAGCCTTGGAGACCATTAGGTGTGCCCCTACAAGACCCTGAGTGTCTCTCTGGTGATCTCCTTAGTCCCCTGAGCTGGTCTATGGAGTCCCCAGCACCGCAGTGCCCTTGCTGTACTGTGGTACTTCTAGGGCCTTCTCATTGATGCAGCCCTGAGGTTCCTGAACACTGCTTGGGGGTGGTGTGGGGGGCACTCCTACTGCCCTTCCTCACCACCTACTTTCCACCCTAATAATTTTTGTTTTTGGTTTTTGGACCATACACAGAAGTCCTCATGGCTCATTTCTACCTCTCTTCAGGGGTCACTTCTGGTAGTACTCAGAGAACCATATGCAGTGCCAGGAATTGAGATCAGCTCCATGCAGTGCGAGCACTCTGCCTACTGTACTGTCTCTAGTACTGTCTCCAGTTCCACAAAGAACCTTTCTTAATAACGGATTTAAAAAGAAAAATACCTTTGTACAGATAATTATAGAAATGTGTGTCTTATGAATTTATTTTAATGCTAGTTGTCTTATTTAAACTCAAATTTATTCCTCTTATTAATATTAAAATAATATTTTTCATGGGATTTGTTGTCGAATGGGAAAATTTATAATTTTAATGAAAAATTCATTATAGTAAATATGACGTATGGTATTGTATAAAATAGGCATGTATGTCTTTCAAAAGTATGAATGAATTGCTGTTTATTAGTTGCAATTCAATTTTATTACCATATTAAAAGAGCATCTGTGTTGATTATTTTACATGTTTTGAAATTATTCTTTTTAAAGAAAACTTTTTTTTGTAGATTCCATGGACAAAACTGAAAACACAGCCCATCTGTTTGGTAAGTTCTGGATTGCCTCAGATATATATATGTATATATATATGATATCTATAAATATATGTATGTATACACACATATACAGATAAAAGGATATATCTATATATCTGTATACATATATCATTTTACATATAATTAAAACCTGATATTCTGTTATGAGTCTTTTATAAAAAAAATTCTTTGGAATTTTTTTAGTCATTAACTTTTATTTTGATACTTAGTTTTCTCAGTCCTTAAATGAACTTTCCAAAACTGATTTTTAAAGTAGGAAGATTTAAAAAATTCTTAGGTCTAGAATTCTGTTCTAATTTGGTATATTTTCTTTTATCATTTTACTATTGACATTGTGATATTCTTGATTTAGATTTGATTTCAGTTTTTGGTCTGCTTTTACTGATTTAGTAAACTATTGTAGAGTGAGGGAGAAATTGATCCCTTGATCATTTATTACTTTACTCCACAAATATTTATGGGGCACCTGCTCTGTACACTAAGGGAACTTAATTTTTTTTGTTTTGTTTTGTGTTGTCATGTCTGTTTGTGCTAAGGGCTTACTGGTGGCTTTGTGCTCAATGATCACTAATGGTGGTACCCAGGGGATCATATGTGGTGCTGGAGATTGAACCAGGGATGGCCTTGTGCAAGGCAAGCGCCTTATTCACTATACTTTATTTCCAACCTTGAACCTAAATTTTTCTGGAGATAGACAATTTCAGAAAATGCTGTATTAAAATAGTTAATGATGATGAAGAATTACTGTAGTTTGTTCATTTTGAGTACTAAGGACTTCCAGTGTTTTTCTTTTAAGAAATAATTATCTTAGTAATGTTTTCATATGAAAAGGTTTGTTGCGGGGGGCTGAGTACAGCAGGTAGGGTGTTTATCTTCCATACGGCTGACCTGTGTTTGATCCCTGGCATCCCATATTGTTCCCCTGAGCACTACCAGGAGTAATTTCTGAGTGTAGAGCCAGGAGGAACCCCTGAGCATCACTGGGTGTAACCCAGAAAGCCAAAAAAAAAAGTTACTTTTTAGAGTTCAGTCCTATTAACATTTTTTTAACCAGTCAATAATGTAATATATCATGGGATTAGATACTGCACTTCTGCAAAATCTAATTATCTTTGAAATACGATTCCTTCTTAAGTTCTTTTCACTGTACTCCTGCACTCTTGCAATATATGTAACTTTCCCATCAGAAAATCTCTTGGAGAAAGATTGACTGCTTTATCATTTAATTTTTTTTATGTTTGTCCTTTTTTGTTGGTGATGTTTTGGGGTTACCCCTGGCAGGGCTTGAGGACTGCTCTCAGCTTAGTGTGTGGGGGTCACTCCCAGGGCAGCTAGGGAATGAACCAGGCTTGACCACAGGCAAGGCAAGTGTCTTAATCCCTATCCTGTAGCTCCCACTTTGTCTTTTTGTCTTTTTTAGGCCATTAGAGAGATATTTAAAGTGACTTTTGCTCACGTGCTACTTATTTTGTTCCAAGAAAGGAGTGTTTATGGAAAAAGTATTTAGAATAAAATATGTAATTTGTTTACATTTTAATGTTTTTTTTATAAGTCCTTGGATAATGTAACAATGGAAATGAGCACATGTGAAGAACCTCGTGCACCTAATGGCCCATCACCGATCGCAACTGCTTCAGGACAGAGGTGAGCTATTTCCTTTACTATGGATGACTGGCAGAGGGAATATGTTCTTTTAATCGCTCTTGTATGTGCAATAATGAAACATAAAATACCCTCACTTTGGTTTTGGAACTAAATCTCACCACTTGGGGCTTACTCCTGACTAACAGTGATTTACCACTGATCACTCGTGGTGGAACTTGGGGGAACCATAGTGGTGCTGGGATTGATTACCCCAGTTATCTCTAAGCAAGGCAGAGCGCCTTTTCTACTGTACTATCTCTCTGGCAACCAAATAAACTAACTGAAACCCTAACTTTAAATAGACCTTTTTTAGTTTGTTCTCCCACCGATTTTTTTGAAAATATAGTTTCAGCTTATCTAAATGTAAATGCACTGGATTTAGCTTCACTTACTCATTTGATTTACTGAATATTAACAGTACTGATAACTGAAAGAAAGCATATTAGCTGAAGTGGAAAACGGGAAATCTTACATTCTGCAAATCAGATAACCTCTTAATTTCTGAATTTATTTTATGATTCTTTGTGTCGGGATCTTTTTTCTTTTTTTCTTTTTTGGTTGTTGAGCCACACCCAGCAGTGCTTTTGGCTATGCACACAGGAATTACACCTGGTGGTGCTCAGAGAACCATATATAGGGAATGCCAGAGTTTGAACCTTGGGTTGGCCACATGCAAGGCAAACACCCAACCCACAGCACTATCTCTCTGGCCCCCAGCTTAGTCAAATTTTGATCTACTTAATTTCATTTCTAAGAGATTAAAATAGAGGGAAATTAATCATTAATGCTGTCTATTCTGTATAGAACCATTGGCTAGTAGTGTTCCTACAGATGAATATAAACTTAGTAAAATCATTATTTTGTCATTTCAGAGAGGAGATAAATATCTGAGTAATGGTTATTAAATTTAGAAGAGATTTGTAAGTTTTAAGTGTTTCATTTTTGATGGATGGTATACTCAAAACAATGTAGACATCAAAATTTTTTCATTTCAAGAACATTTTTATAACTTAAATGTGACCTGCTTCCATTATAGTGACAGTTTTGTGAGGAGGGCTTGGGACAGAACTGTACCTGATAATACATACAGGTTTTGGTGCGGCTTTGGCTCTGTGGTTCTGGAGGCTTAACCTGGGCCTCCCAGATTATATCTACAACTCCAACAATTTGTTTAAACAAAAATGAATAATAATAGTATGGCAGTTTATATACCTGTTTGAGGCGGGGTAGCAGTGGAGAGTTGTCCGCTGCTCTGTCCCTGTGGGTTGCTCCCAGTGGTGCTCAGGGACCATGTGACACCAGAGATCCAGATGGCGTCAACCTCATGTAAGGCAAGTACCTAGACCCCTTTACTATCTATCTGGCCCCAATTTGTATATTTGTATGAACATGCTATACTTACGGATACCTTTTTTTAAGCTGTAATGCATCATGCTTTGCTTTTGTTTCTCCAGTGAATATGGCTTTGCTGAAAAAGTAGTTGAGGGAATTACTGTTTCTGTGAATTCCATTGTGATTCGCATTAAAGCAAAAGCCTTCAATGCATCCTTTGAACTTTCCCAGCTAAGAATCTATAGTGTAAATGCAAAGTGGGAACATGATGATTTAAAATATACCCGTATTCAAGATCCACAGAGAGGAGAGGTAAGTGGTTTTTTTCCCTCTCTGTTTTAAAAATATGTTAGTCACTGATGAATAGGATTTTGAAATAATTGCTTTTTGGAATTATTTTTTTTTTTGCCACACCTATTGGTACTTAGGGGTTATTCCCAGGGTTCACTCTGGGGATAGAACTGGAATTCTTATATGCAAAGCATGTACTCAGCTTATTGAACTATCTCTCCATCCATGAAATAACTACTTCTTATGGTTACCTAGATTAAAAATATAGCTCCTAACTTTACTCTTAGTATTTATATTTTTGTGTTACTCTTAACACTTACATACAAAACATGTTTTTTTAATGGTAATCAAGTGTTTGATTTATAGAGTCAGTGACTCCAATTTTACTTGAAATAAAAACATAGTGAATATATCTAGAATGTCTAGCTAAAGTTAGTGAAGAGAAATATTTTTATTTAATGATAGTGAATTTACTTTTTTTTTCTTTTGATTGTGTTAAACTCTGTGTTCTCCTTAGGTTTTGACATTTAAAGAAATAAATTGGCAGATGATTCGAATAGAAGCAGATGCTACCCAAAGTTCACATCTTGAAATTATGTGTGCTCCTGTTCGATTGATAACCAACCAATCAAAAATTAGAGTCACACTAAAAAGAAGAGTAAGTCAACATGTTATCTTTTAGATTCATTTAGCAGTTATTGGAATTAACAGAAAAGTTAAAGTAAATTTGAGATGAAATATCTGTATACCAAAGCAATGCAAAATTAAGGGAAATACAGTGAGATCAAACAATAGTTGAAGCAATTTGATGTTACTACATAGAATACATTTTCTTTTAAAATACAATTTGTAAATAAATTTTGATGTTATAAAGTAGAACACATTTTCTGTTTTCTAGGCTTAGCTAATATTTTGTTTTTAATTTTTGAGACACTAGAGCTTTTAGCTGCCAAATATTTGTTGTAAAAAATTTTGTTTCTCCTGTTGCTGAGGAAAGGTTAAACAGTAAAATCTGTATCATCAGCAATCAAAAGTATAGCTTCAGAAAGTGATTCAAATTAATAGGAAGATAATTTATAAGGAGATAGAAGATAAGAGATAGAAGATAATGGTCTATAATTGAGAGGACAGTTAAGGACATGAAAAGTTTTGAAATTTTTTTGGATTTGGTTTTGGGCCACACCTGGTCATGCTTAGGTGTTACTCCTGGCTCTTCAATCAGGAATGGGGTGCTGGGGCTTAAACTTGGGTTGCCTGTGTGGAAGGCAAGTGCCTAACTCTTCAGCCCCAGTTTTAGTCAAATTTAATGAAGGAGCAATGATTTTAAAATCTTGACTGTAAGTCTCAGTATCTCTCACTGGATACAAATAACTATTAAATTGTAAAATAAGCACAGCGGTAGGGCGTTTGCCTTGCACGCAGCCAACATGGTCAACCCGAGTTCGATTCCTTCCCCCCTCTCGGAGAGCCCGGCAAGCTACCGAGAGTATCTCGCCCGCACGGCAGAGCCTGGCAAGCTCCGTGTGACGTATTCTATATGCCAGACACAGTAACAACAAAGTCTCCAATGGAGACGTTACTGGACCTGCTTGAGCAAATCGATGATCAACGGGAGGGCCTTTACTTTACTTAATAGTATGAATAATGTGAATGTGGTTACAGTAGCATTTTATTTTTAAATTAATTTTAATGCCTCATTTCTAAAATTAATTTTATTTGGATAATGTTATTAGCCAAAAAGGCAAAATTGAATCATATGAATATTTGAAACTGTATAGTTTATACTTGAAATTTGTGGGAGAGGGCTGAGTTACACCTCTCAGGGCCTCGGCTACTCCTGGCACTGTACTCAATGGTTACTCCTAGCAGTGCTGGTGGGCCACATCTGCTGGTGGAATTGGATAAGTAGCATGCAAGGCAAGTGCCTTAGAGCCTGTACTTGCTCTTTAGTCCCCGAATATATAACTCTCTCATTGCTAACTTTATTCATGAACATGGTTTTGTTTGGGGCTGGTACTGCCCTGGCACAATTCCTGGCTCTGAGCTCAGGGCAACTGTGGTGGTGGTAGGGATGGAACTGGGCTTGGCTGCACATGAAGCAAGCATTTTTTAAAAAATTTTTTAAAATTAATTTTTAAAAAATTTTACAAGGTTGTTTACAAATAATTTATTACATTCAATATTCTAACACCTATCCCACCAAAATTATACCTTCCTACTACCATTATTTTGAATTTTCCCACCACCACCGAAGCCTGCCCCAAAGGCAGATCCTAAATAATTTTTTTTAGAAGCAAGCATCTTCATCTCTATATTATCCCCTTGGCCAAAAATTAAAATGTTTTTTGCCACCCCTGAAATATGGTCAGTAGATCTGAGGGTGCCCAGGACTGTTGGAGGAAGGGACATTGGGATAATGGTGTAGAGATCTGGTGGTGTGCATGGTGTAGCAGTAGTGAAATTTTTTTAAAAAAGTAATAAAGATACTATTGTAATGATAGATAAATGAGTAACGCCCCCCAAAAATAAATAAATGGGAGATGAGCACAAAATAAAAAATTTATGAAGATTATTAACCAAATTACTTTTAAAGTTATATTTAAAAAAAACCCTTTGTTTTATTTTTATTTTTGGGCCACATGCAGTGGTGCTCAGGGCTTACTCCTGGCTCTACACTCTGGGATCACTTGATGGCTGGGATTGAGCCCTGATCTGCCATGTTCAAGTTCACCACACCCTACTGCTCTGTTATCACTCCTGCCCATTGTTTTAATATAAGTGCATTTTAAGTTTTCTTTGTTGACTTAATTCTGTAACTCATTTTCCTCTGACAGCTGAAGGATTGCAATGTTGTAGCAACTAAGTTGATCCTAATATTGGATGACTTACTATGGGTCTTAACGGATTCCCAGTTGAAAGCTATGGTTCAATATGCAAAATCTCTTAGTGAAGCAATTGAAAAGTCAACCGAACAGAGAAAGAGTATGGCTCCTGAACCTTCACAGGTAATGCTATTCAGGTAGCAGAGGAGGGAAAGTTAACTTTGCATATAGGTAACTTTGCATGAGTACGATTTAAAAATCAGATGTTGAGTCCAAGAATTTTCTTTACCTAGACATCTTCCTCTGTAGTTTCTCTATTTTTAATGTTTGGATTACACCCGACAGTATCATGGCTTACTCCTGGCTCTTTTCAGGTGTCACATCTGACTCTGTGCTCAGGGATCCTGCCTGGCAGTGTTTGGGGGTCCATATGTGGTGTCAGGGATTGAACTGTGGTTAGCCATGTACAACCTTTACCCACTGTACTATCTTTCCACCCCTCTATAGTTTTATAGAATATTATATATGAGAAAACAATGTAAATGTATTCATACCTATGTAGTGTTTTCTTTAGAGCATTTTACTAGGTGCTAGAATGAATATGACAAGATTATTTGATATTATAAATGCTACCTTCAGGAAATTAAAAAATTTGTTTATTAAAGCAAGTGTAAAAGAAATCTGGGAAGTTATTATACAGGGAGATTCTGTGAGAATTGTGCAAGAGACTAAAGTTGTAGAGTTGAAAACAAGGGAAACATGAGCAATTTATCTTATTTGTGGGGGCAAAGGTGGGTTTGCACACACTCGGTGGGTTCAGGATTCACTCTTGTTAGTGATTGAGGGACCAGATTTAGTACCATGCAAGGTAAGCACCTTATTCCCTGATCTGTCTGGATTTGGGCATTTGGGCTTCCTGGATCGATGAGTCTTAATTTTTTATTTATTTTAATTTTTTTGCTTTTGGGGTCACACCTGGCAATGCACACGGGGTTACTCCTGGCTCTGCGCTCAGGAATTACCCCTGGCGGTGGTTCAGGAGACCATATGGGATGCTGGGAATTGAACCTGGGTTGGCCGTGTGCAAGGCAAATGCCCTACCCGCTGTGCTATTGCTCCAGCCCCCTGGATCTATGAGTCTTAAAAATCATTCTTCAAATTGGGGATGTTTTTAGCTATGATTTTCCTCACCACAACTTTCCTTTTGCTCTTTCTTCTTCCAGGGACCCTAAAATTTGTATGTTCTTCCTCTTCAGTCTATTCATAGGTCATTGATGCTTCCTTCATTCCTTATTCCTCCTGTTGACCCTTTATTTCTCTTTGCTATTTTTGGGTAGTTTCATGTATCTTATCTTTTTAGAACACTGATTCATCTGCTTCTGTCTTTCTACTATGATTTATTTCATCTATTGTATATTTCAATTCTTCAAATCAGAGATAAATTTTTGAAGTATTCTCATAGTTTGTCCATCATTGTTGGAACAGTTCTCTGTTAATTTTCTTTAGTTCAGTGACAGTCTAATTATAGTCACTTTGAAACACATGAGGCAGATTAGAGAGGTTTTCTGTGCTTGGAATCTATTCAAGGCTTTTGTAGTTGTTTATTCTGCAGGTAGATTTCTCTGTTTCTGCATTATGTCGGACACTCCAGCTGCGTGCTATAGGGGGCTGGGTCCAAATATTTGGGTTTTTTTTTTTTTTTTTTTTTTTTTGCTTTTCGGGTCACACCCGCTGATGCACAGGGGTTACTCCTGGCTCTGCACTCAGGAGTTACTCCTGGTGGTGCTCAGGGGACCACATGGGATGCTGGGAATCGAACCCAGGTCGGCCACGTGAAGGCAAACGCCCTACCCACTGTGCTGTCTCTCCAGCCCCAAAGATTTGTTCTTATTGGTGAGGCTCATGTGGGGATAACAGCTCAGTGCTCTTTCCTGAGGGGTTGCCTCTGCAGTTATCTTTTTGTTTGTTTTGGGCCACACCTGCCTGTGCTTACGGTTTACTCCTGGCTCAGTGCTCAGGGATCACTCCTGGAGAGTTTGAGAGACTTCGTAGGGTGCCGGGGATTGAATTCAGGTTGGCTGCATGCAAGGCAAACACCTTGCTGTACTATCTCTCGGTCTCTCTGTCCCTTATTTTTTTTTAAAGCATTCACAGAAGCTTCCTTTACTAGTTGATACATATGTTTCTAAAGTTATGGCTATAAATATGACTAGTAAGATATTTACCAAAAATGCTGACTGTTAGGTTCATATTTAGTAATGTATCAGTACCCGGTTTTTAGGTTTTATTTCTGTATAATTAAGGTAATATTGTAGGGAAACTGAATTATCAATAGAGGAATGTATCAGCTCCTTTTTCATGAGTTTGTTATTAAAACGTTTAGACTTTATTGTCAGTGGTATTTCAAATGTTTAACCTGTTTTGAATCTTTTTAGAGTGCTACAGTAACCCAGTCTACCCAGCAAGTGAAGACACCACAGGCTACAAATGCTCCTGATCTGAATGACTCAATTGTGAAACAATTCAACGAACATGATGTTAAAGAAACATCCCATCATTTAGTGGTATCTCATTTGGATCTGCACATATGTGATGATATTCATGCTAAAGAAAAAGGTAATAAAAGTTGCTTATTTTGTATTATTTTTATCCTAGATACTATAAACCTGGCTTGTTTCTTACATGTATTATGCAGTATGTTTAGTTGTTTTAGGCCACATCTGTTTGTGCTCATGGATCTGGTGGGTGTCAGAAGATTGTTTGTGATGCCAGGAATAAACTCAAAGCATTTTTTTCTTTCTCTGGTATACTTTCTCTCTGGCTCAGATAACTGGTTATAATATGATCATATGCAAATACAGAGATGAAAGTGTATTTTATCCCCTGAACTCTGGCAGGAATGACCCCTGAGCCACAAATAAGCCCTCTGCACAGCTAGGTGTGGTCAAAGAAACCTAAAAAATTTTTTTTCAATAAAGAAAGAGAAGAATAATTTTAAGTGCTAGATCTTAAATAGAAATTTGCTTTAATAGTGACAGTAACAGTCATTGGCCATTGATGTTTTGTTCTTTCACAATTCATTAGTTTTTTGATTGTTTATTTTAAGTTTTGGACAAACCTGGTGTTGCTGGGGGTGAGCACATCCTACTGCCGCACCCCACTTCTTGCTTGTTAGTTGAGTTTGTTAGTAGGTCAGTAAAAGCCCAACTCACTGTATATACATGTTCTGGCCCCAAGATACTAGTTTTGAACTTGGGCCTCCTGCATGTAAAGCAGGTGTTCTACGCCATTGAACTATCTCTTCTGCCCTTAGTTATCAATTTTAGCTATCAGTTATTATTAAATACTAGGTTTTCCTTTTAATTTACTTTAATAATTTTGAAATTCTTGAGTGAAATTTTAATCATACTCAGTTCATACTTCAGATGAGGGTCTTTTATTTGTTCTTTTTTTAAAATTAAAGTTAATTTATATTTTTTTAACAGAGCTGCTCATGATTTGGGATTGGGCGCGTTCAGGGTGGTATGGCCGTAGATTAGGGCTAGAGCGATAGCATAGCAGGTAATACGTTTGCCTTGGATGCGACTGACCCGGTTGGCCCAGGTTCGATTCCTCTGCCCCTCTTGGACAGCCTGGCAAGCTACTGAGAGTATCTCGCCGGCATGGCAAAGCCTGGCAAGCTACCCCTGGCATATTCGATATGCCAAACACAGTAACAAGTCTCACAATGTTACTGAGCCTGCTCGAGCAAATCGATGAACAACGGGAGGACAGTACTACAGTGCTACAGTTCATGATTGGATTTCAGTCATACAGTATTCCAACACCCATCCCTCTACCAGTGGAAGAGACCACTATGACAATAGCTGGGAATGATCACGCTGGACAAAAGCTGAGGGTCTTTTTTTTTCTTTTTCTTTTTGGGTCACACCCGGCAATGCACAGGGGTTACTGCTGGCTCTGCACTCAGGAATTACCCCTGGCTGGGCTCGGGGGACCATATGGAATGCTGGGAATCAAACCCTGATTGGCAAATGCCCTACCCGCTGTGCTATTGCTTCAGCCTCTAAAAACTGAGGGTCTTTTAAAGCTAGAAGTTTTGACCTGTATGCCTCAGACCTGAATCATAAGTGTATTTTTGAAAATCTGGATCTGGATTTTTGAAACTGATGGGAGTGAATAGTGAGACCAAAAAACTTAGAAATTACCCTACCTTCATCAGACAAGACAGCCAGGTGTCAGCTAATGGATACAAGGATGATATGAAAGGAAAGTAGAATTTGGAGTTTGGAAAGGAATTTGTTGTCTTTTTCTTTTGCTTTCCTTTATTTAGGTTTACTGTGTTAGTGACTTGCAAGGAAAAAAGAAATAAAAGATATCCAGAATAACAAAAGGAAGGGTCAAGGTTATATATCAAGCAAAAGAGCAAAGTTTTTCTTTCACATTTCTTACTTTTTACGTATTTTCATAGACTAAATTTTGATATTACATAAGATGAAAATCCTCTAGAACATCTTAATCATGCTAATCAGTTTTCAGTTCTGTTATGATCACGATCACCATCATCCTGTTGTTCGTCGATTGCCTCGAGCAGGCACCAGTAACGTCTCATTCGTCCTAGCCCTGAGATTATAAAAAGTGCCACATTCAAGGCTCTTTCAGGGTTAGGAGAATGAGACCTATCATTGTTACTGGTATTTGGCATATTGGGTACGCCACGGGGAGTTTGCCAGACTCTGTCGTTTGGGCAGGCTACACTCGGTAGCCTGCCAGGTTGTCAAAGCAAGATGAGATAATAAGATGTCACGCAGCTGCAAATGCGGCTGCGGGCTTCTGGGAACTGGGTTTTATATTCTCTGGGTCTTGGCCATTGATGAGATTACACGGCGCTGGGGGGTAGTTGGTGGGTGTGACCCCCGCCTACTGGAAGATGGAGGATCTGGGTGGAGGATGCTTAGTCCCGATCCAAGTAGGCTTGGAGATCTCATCCCCGGGACCCGCATGCCTTTGTTCCTCTGCCGGTGCCTTCATGCATGTGGAGAGTGGTCTCAGCATGGTTGTGGCTGGTTCCGGAGGTCTTTGGGGCTCTGCCGGGGCTGTGCTCGGGGTGGGGAGGGAAACTCAACCCAGTTCTGTATTATTCTTAAATACAGAAACATGAAATGTTCTCCTAAGTTTGTAAAAGACTTGCCTGCTTGCAAAACCTGACCTAAGCCAACACTTACACAATTGCTAATCATCTTTATTTTTGTATTCATTTTTTTGTTTGGGGTCCACATGGCAGTTTACCCTTAGCTCTGTACTCTGGGATTACTTCTGGCAGTGTTCTGTGGACTATATGTGGTGCTGGGGATCAAACCTGGGTTAGCCACATGTAGAAAGGTGTCTTTTACCTGCCCCAAATAATCATCTTTATTCAGCCCATCTAATGAAAATATTTTAGGGTGTCTTTGTTGGGAATGGAGACTTCCAAGTGATGCGGGAGACCCAGCAGTCTGAACTGGAGGCTGCTTGGGCCCATACCTAGTGGTGTTGAGGCACCATGTCATGTCAGGAATTGAGCCACAGTTGGTTTATGCAAGGTTCTTAACACTGGCCTTCAAATACTGTTTTACTGAAGGTTTAATTTAAAAAACAAATTCTGTAGACTCAGAATTTTCTGGGAGTATTGTATGCTTTGTTTAGATTATACTACTTTAATGTAAAAAACCATGAATTCTAAAACATCATTCAAAACGTATGTAAGGGATTGTAGAAATGTTCTAGAATTCTAACTGAGATCAGTTTGAGTTGACGAAATACACTGCATAGCTGTGTTTTAGTGTTTTCCTTCTACTTAGTTTTTCCATTCTCTTCTAAATGTGATTTTTATGTTAGAATTACACTGACTTGTGATCTTCTGATCTTAATGTAGGAGCATAATCTTGAATAAATTAGATTCCAATAGACTCAGTTTCTTCTCAGGAAGAGATAAAATGATAAAGTAGTGAATATTTTTTTGGCTTAAAAAACGGGGGCCAGCGGATGGATTCACTAGTGAATTCTTCCAAATCTTTAAAGAGGACTTACTCCCAATGCTCTTTAAGCTTTTCCACGAAATTGAAATATCAAAAACACTTCCAAACAGTTTCTACGAAGCAAATATCACACTGATACCAAAAGCAGACAGAGATACCACAAAGAAAGAGAATTACAGGCCGATATCCCTGATGAACACAGATGCAAAGATCCTCAACAAACTACTAGCAAATAGAATCCAACTACTCATTAAAAAGATCATACACCATGACCAAGTAGGATTCATCCCAGGGATGCAAGGATGGTTTAACATTCGGAAATCAATCAACATAATCCACCATATCAACAAAAGAAAAGATAAAAAGCATATGATCATATCAATAGATGCAGAGAAAGCATTTGATAAGATCCAGCACCCCTTTATGATGAAAACCCTAGCCAAAATGGGTATAGAGGGGACCTTCCTCAACATAATTAAAGCCATCTACCACAAGCCTACAGCAAGCATCATCCTCAATGGGGAAAAACTGAGAGCCTTCCCTCTAAGATCAGGGACGAGACAGGGATGCCCACTCTCTCCACTGCTGTTCAATATAGTACTGGAAGTACTTGCAATAGCGATTAGGCAGGAAAAAGATATTAAGGGCATTCAGGTAGGAAAGGAAGAAATCAAGCTCTCACTATTCGCAGATGATATGATACTCTACTTAGAGAACCCAATAACTTCCACCAAAAAACTCCTAGAAACAATAGACTCGTATAGTAAAGTTGCAGGTTATAAAATCAATACCCAAAAGTCCATGGCTTTCCTATACGCAAACAGTGAGAGAGAAGAAAGCAACATGAAAAAAACAATCCCATTCACAATTGTGCCCCAGAAAATCAAGTACCTAGGAATCAGCTTAACTAAGGAAGTAAAGGACCTGTACAAAGAAAACTACAAAACGCTACTTCAGGAAATAAAAGAGGACATGAGGAAATGGAAAGATATCCCCTGCTCATGGGTCAGGAGACTTAACATTGTCAAAATGGCAATACTACCGAAAGCATTGTATAAATTCAATGCAATCCCTATAAGGATACCCATGACATTCTTCAAAGAAATGGAGCAAACACTCTTGAAATTTATATGGAACAATAAGCCCCCACGAATAGCTAAAGCAATTCTTGGGAAAAAGAAAATGGGAGGAATCAACCTCCCGAACTTCAAACTGTACTACAAAGCAGTAATAATTAAAACAGCATGGTACTGGAACAAAGGCAGAACTGCAGACCAATGGAACAGGGTTGAATACACTGACATCTCTCCTCAATCATATGCTCATCTAATCTTTGATAAAGGTGCAAGTAATGTGAAGTGGAGTAAGGAAAGCCTCTTTAATAAATTGTGTTGGCATCACTGGACGGCTACATGCAAAAAAATAGGCTCAGAACTCTGCCTAACACCATGTACAAAAGTAAGATCAAAATGGATTAAAGACCTCAACATCAGACCAGAAACCATAAGGTACATTGAAGATAAAGTTGGCAAAACCCTCCATGACATTGAAGCTAATGGTATCTTCAAAGATGCCACGCCACTGGCCGAGCAAGTGAAAACAGAGATAGATAAATGGGACTATCTTAAACTAAGAAGCTTCTGCACCTCCAAAGAAACAGTGACCAAAATACAAAGACAGTCTACAGAATGGGAAAGGATATTCACCGAATACACATCTGACAAGGGGTTGATATCCAGGATATACAAAATACTGGTTAAACTCCACAAGAAGAAAACATCCAACCCCATCCAAAAATGGGGCAATGAAATGAACAGAAACTTTCTCAAAGAAGAAATCCGAATGGCAAAAAAGCACATGAGAAAATGCTCTACATCATTAATCATCAGGGAGATGCAGATCAAAACCACAATGAGATACCATCTCACACCTCAGAGACTGGCCCACATTCAAAAGAACAAAAGCAACTGATGCTGGCGTGGATGTGGCGAGAAAGGGACACTCCTTCACTGTTGGTGGGAATGTCCACTGGTTCAGCCCTTCTGGAAAACAGTATGGATGGTGCTCAAAAATTAGAAATTGAGCTCCCATTTGACACAGCAATACCACTCCTGGGAATATATCCCAGAGAGGCAAAAATGTATAGTCGAAGTGACATCTGCACTTGTTTGTTCATTGCAGCACTCTTTACAATAGCCAGAAACTGGAAGAAACCTGAATGCCCAAGAACAGATGACTGGTTAAAGAAACTTTGGTACATCTACACAATGGAGTACTATGTAGCTCTTAGAAAAGATGAAGTCATGAAATTTACATACAAGTGGTACAATATGGAAAGTATCATGCTAAGCGAAATGAGTCAGAAAGAGAGGGATAGACATAGAAAGATTGCATTCATCTGGGGGATATAAAGTAACAAAGTATGAGATTAATACCCAAGAATAGCTGAGATCAGCACCAGGAGGATTACTCCATAACTTAGAGGCCAGCCGGGTATCCTAGAGGAAAGGGCTGTTCAGATAGAGAAGGGAGCACCAAATAAAGGATGTTTGGAGGATCCTCCCAGGAGGGGAGATGCATGTCGAAAGTAGACTATGGACTGAACATGTTTGCCACTCAATGCCTCTTTTGCAGACCACAACACCCAAAAGGAGAGAGAGAACACAGGGGATTGCCCTGCCACAGAGACAGGGGGGATGGGGGTGGGAGGGATATTATCCATGGTAGTGGAAAATGGGCACTGGTGGAGGGATGGGTATCTGATCATTGTATAATTGAAACCAAAGCACAAAAAATTGTAAATCTACAACTTTAAAAAAAAATAAAATAAAATAAAATAAAGGGGGAAAAAAAAACGGGGGCCAGAGCGATAGCACAGTGAGTAGAACCTTTGCCTTGCATGTGGCAGACCCAGATTTGATCCCCGGCATCCTATATGGTCCCCCAAGCTCTGCCAGGAGTAATTTCTAAGTGCAGAAACAGGAGTAACCCGTGATCATTGCCGTCTGACCCAAAAAGCAAAAAGACCAAAACCAAGCAAAAAACCTACTATACACTATTGGGTGTGTGACTTGATCCTCTTTATTAAATTTGTTTCTCAATTTCCTTATATAGAAAATAGGGCTCATAATAATAGAGTATGTCTTATAGGGTTATTATGAGGAACAAATAACTATACCTAGTAAAAACACTGTAAAAACAGTGATACATGATAGGGCTGGAGCGATAACACAGTGGGTAGGGTGTTTGCCTTGCAAGCGGCCAATATGGCCGACCCGAGTTCGATTCCTCCACCCCTCTCAGAGAGCCAGGCAAGCTACTGAGAGTATCTCGCCCGCATTGGAAAACCTGGCAAGCTACCCGTGATGTATTCGATATGTCAAACACAGTTACAATTGTCACAATGGAGACATTACTGAGCCCGCTCGAGCAAATCGATGAACAACAGGAGGACAGTGACAGGACTGTAAATACACTTTTGGGAGAACAGTCCCTGGGTTCATTTATGAGAGCCTGCACTCTTACCAGTGACCTACATTCTTAGCTAGGTTCTGTAAATAGGACTGTTCTGCTATTTTTATATCATCACCTTAATCTGATGCCTTGAAAATAACATCAGCAAATAAAATATTCAATTGTGCTTCCTAAATCCTCAAGGTATTATCCTTTATAACAGAGATAGTTATCACTTTCTAGACTGCAAGTGTGCTAATTTTCTGTTCCTGATACTAGCTTACAATTTCTTTCACTTTATCTAAGTCTCATCTTTTTTTTTTCTCAGAGTCAAACAGACGTATCACTGGAGGAGCTATGCAACTGTCTTTTGCCCAGCTGACAATAGATTATTATCCTTATCATAAAGCAGGTATATATTGCAATTTCTTTGAAACAGATAAATCTTGCTCTGAAATTAGGAAGCTGGTTTATTTCATTTTGTTTTATATCATTTTAATTTATTGTGTTTTTGAAGGTGAAAATAGTGATATTAAAGAGGTGCCATTATTTGTCCTTTCAGTATCAAGAGATCTGTAATAATCTAAATATGAAACTCAGAATACAGAGGAATATGTTGGGGTGATTTTATTAATTGTGACTAAACTCAGCTACTGTGTAGAAAGTGGAGAAACTCCCAAGCAATGCTCAAGATGTCTGGGTACAACTTCTGGTGATTCTTGCCTGGCTGGGTCAGACTGTCCAGTGGTCAGGCCTAGTTGTGCAGAGCGACATGGGCCAGTGGTACTGGAGGCCACCAAGCTAGAGACAGTGAAGTGCGCGGGGTTGAGCTACATAGGTTCTTGTACATAAGAGTCATGTGTCCCTGACCACTAAACTGTCTCCCCAGACTGCGAGTAATTATTTTTGAACAATTTGTGTTTAAAATCACAAAAGAATATTTTGTAAAGCAATAACTCATTTTAGCTAAATTATAGGATAATTCCAAGAACTTCTAGATAAGCCTAACTTTCTAAACTTCATCAATAATTAAGATATAATAAACTATTATTATTTTAATTTTGGGGACCATCTAATGTTGCTCAGCAGATCCAGAAGCTTCACCAGTGATCTGCCAAACTGGCTTGTGGGTCTGTGCAGGGGCCTGAGAGTGTGATGCTACTTTGGCTCTGTGGTGCTGGGGATTATGCAGGCCACCTCAGAGGTGCATGGGGTCTCCAGGCCTCCACCTGGTAATACTTGGAGACCATGTGTTGCTGGGAGTTAACCCCAGGTTGGTGCTCTTAAGTGCGCTTTGCTATCTCCCCGCCCCTTAGTTGACTCTTTAATAATCAAGTATTAGTGGATGTTTTTTCTTCCAAATAGTAAAAACAAAATGGTTGTCATTTCTTTACTGTTTGTTTTTGAGGCCACACCCAACTGTGCTCAGGGCTTACTCCTGGCTGTGTGCTCAACGATCAGTTCTGGTAATGGTTAGGGGGTGGACCATATATGGTGCCAGGGATTAAATCCAGATCACTCACCTGCATTGCCAATACCTTGCCCATTATACTATCTCTCCAGCCCAAATGTTTGTTTTCTATATCAGCACTGTTTGGAGGGCTAAAACTTTCTGACATCAGTAGATTTTATTTTATTAATTTTTTTTTCTGTATGTGGGGGCCACACTATGCTTGGGGGACCATGCGATGTCTAAGACTGAACTGAGTCTCCCATGTATGAAGAATGCACTCCAACCCTTTAATCTATCTCCCCACCCAAATTTTATTTTATTTTTTTAATATCAGAATATTTTAATTATCCTATTTCACAACTTTACTTAGCATGATGATATATTTTTCCTGTTTTTTTTTTACTATTTTTATACATTTTATTTTCATAAAGGAGTTCACATTAGTTCATTAAGAAGGGGGGAAAGTTTTTTTTCCTTTTCCTTTTTGGGTCCCTCCACAGCGATGCACAGGGGTTACTCCTGTCTCATGTACTCAGGAATTACTCCTGGCGGTTCTTGGGGGCCATATGGGATGCTGGGAATCGAACCTGGGTTGGCTGCTGCTAGGCAAATGCCCTACCTGCTGTGCAATTGCTCCAGCACCCAAATTTTATTTTCTTAACCCTTTTATTTTCATATTACCTGTTTTAGGTGAACCTAATCCTGAATTTAAATTTTCTTCCAAAGAACATACATGGTTATAGGTGATTGTCCATTGATTGTCCATTTTTAGAATTACACTGGTTGTATTTTAATAATCCTTATCATTTTTCTGGATAGTTTTTGTTAGTCACCTTACAAAGTTTTTGATAAAAGAATTTTTTTCAGTTGTGTTATTTTGGAAATTATGTCCAGTGGACCTATATATAGTAACATTCAGTTATCAATAGTAGTGTTTCTAATAAAAACTTTGATATTCTGTCCTGGATGAGATTCTAGATAAAAGTTCTCACGTTATTCATTTTTGACTATTTCTTATGAAGATTTCAAGTCTGTAGCAGGTGAAGTCTCTAATTTTATTGGAAGATTAAAGGTCATGAGTAAATATCATGTGAAGTCTTCTTTGAATAAATTTAAATGGTGCACTTTTGAGTGGAATATCTGCTGTTCATTTTACAGGTGATAGTTGTAATCATTGGATGTGTTTTAGTGATGCAACCAAAACAAAAAACGGATGGGCCAATGAGTTGTTACATGAATTTGAATGCAACGTTGAAATGCTTAAGCAGGCTGTAAAGGATCATAATGTAGGTTCACCACCTAAGTCCCCAACACATGCTTCTCCCCAGAATACACAAACAGGTATTTTACCTATAACAACATTACTATATCCCCTAATATTAATTGTGTATATTTTCTTATGTAATCATATCATTTTAAAAATAAATACTAAGTTTATTTAAAGTCTAAAAATCTTATATTTAATTAGACCTGAGATTTATATCAAAATACTCTTTAAATTAATGTGATTAATAAGAATAAATCCAAGGTAGAATGTTGAAGCTTTTAAATCTCTAGTAGATCAGAAATTTAGCCAAAAGTTATTATATGAGAGTGTCTTATGTGATATAAATATTCTTCTGACTTTAGGAATAATCACAAAACACAACATTTTTTTTAACATATTTCTATGACAGTTTATATATAAAGTATTTCCATATACTTGGTTGAAGAAATTAGAATTTGAGCCCAGATATAACTCAGTGGTAGCCTACATATTTTGACTATGTAAATTCTTCAGTTTGATTCCCAGCACTAACTTTGTGGCAATAAAGAAGTAGGATACATCTATATTACTAGTAGTTGTCTTAATAAAAAATTGACTTTAAAAATAAATTGCAAATAGCTGATAGGAGCATTTGTTTCCCACAGAGAAAAATTCAGTTCTGAAAGGGACATCCGGAGCACCTTCAGTATTATCTCAACAATTCAAAACTAAATTAATGTCCTGTTCCGTTGTGGTTAGACTGGCAGATTTCAATATATACCAGGTATGTTGTTTTTAAAATGAAATCTTCTGATAGACACACGTTTTTTATCTCTTGCAGACAAATCTTACAGATACACTATTTAAAGCCATTTTGACCATTTTTGTGAAATGACTAATTTAGACATGATAAAAGTATCAGTTCATTATTTTTTGCGAAACTGAGCCTAACACTGTGTAATATTTGTGATACACTCCTTAAATTACCCACATGCACAAAAAATTCATGAGAAATGTCATAAACCTCATTGAAATAACGTTATATTCAGAGTCACATATGATGGGGGAGAGAGAGCATTAAGTGGGGTCTGCCAAGGTTTCAGAGATCAGCCTTCTAGCATGGACTGTTAGCAGTATGCATGAAAGTATTAGCCTATGTAGTTCATTCATTGTATAGTCAGACTGGTATCAGTGACTCAAAGATTCCCCCATTAAATCCTACCCCAGAACAAATGAACAGAAATATTTTCATTAAGTGGACTGAGTAAAGATGATAATTTGATAATTTGCAGTGTGTTCTTTTAGGTCAGGTTTTGGCCAGCCCAGGTCCCCTTTGGAGCATAAACTTTATCAGTTGCGGACCTATGCATCTGCCATGAGCAGTAATTTTTTTTGTTTGTTTCGTTTTTTTTTTGGCTTTTTTTTTTAGGCCATATCTGGCACGCTCAGGGGTTACTCCTGGCTCTGCACTTAGGAATTAATCCTGGTAGGCTTGGGGGACCACATATGGAATGCCAGGCATGAACTCGGATCCCTTTGTCAGCCACATATAAGGCAAATGCCCTATCTATTGTACTGTGGCTTTGACCTCCAAGTATTACATTTAAAAAAATTATAATTGCCTCTAAGAAACAGGGACAAAAGCCTGATTTCTTTTTTAGAGGTGGGTTACTTGCTACTTAGGATCTCAGTGGAACAAACAAAAATACTTCTTTTGCTTTATTGAATTATCAAATATTGACTAGACTGAGAATCTATTTTATAGATAGCTAAGAACTCTATTCTAGCACCGGGGAGATAGCTCATAGAGCTGAAGCACATGCTTTGATTGGAGAGAGCCCCTGGTTTGATTTTTGGCATCACACAACCCCCTGAGCACTGCCAGGAGTGACTCCTGAGCAGCAAGCCAAGAATAGTCACAGAACACACTTTAAGTGTAACAACAAAGCAGTCTATTATTAATACTTTTAAATTTGTTTTTTATTTTGGGGCGATATTAGCTATGCTTGGGGTTCTGCTCCTGGCCAGTGCTTAGGGCACTGTGATCAAGGCGCAGACCCAGGCTTCCTGCATATAAAGCCTGGCCTCTAGCCCAGAAAGCTATTTGTCCCACCCCTCCATTTACTTACTTAGACTACAGTCATGTAGCATAGTCTAATATCACAATTCTTGAAACTCACACACTAAATTGTATAATTTAATTTTTTATTATTTTATTATTATTATTTTTTAATTAGAGAAAATATCACATGTATTATGATTTATAAATTATTCCAGTTATTTTTGGTCACTTGTGATTTTGAAACTGAGTTGAATTTTAACAGTTCTCATTTTTCTTACTGATTTTCAACTGTGGCCAATTTAGCTGTCCTCTCCATCCGGATACTTGCCAGTGTCCAATGGCTGTTTTAGTTGTCACAGCTAGAGGGAGTTACTACTGAGACTAGATACTGCATAGATTTCTGTGGCACATGGGACAGCACTAACAAAAAGAACCATCTGCTTCAAATGTCAGTAGTGCTAACTTTGAGAAACGCAGACAAGTTATTTTGTTCTTGAAAAGTTGCTTCTTTATTTAGTTCTATATGTAATAATTTTCCTTGAAGTGGGTTTGAATAAATAAATTCATATGGAAATGAACGAAAAGGAATCACCCAAAATCACAGTGATTGAAAGTGAAGTACACAGTGAAATCCAGTAGGGGCTGGAGAGACTGTACAGGGGTTAAGGCACTTGCTGTGCCTGAGGCCTAACCCAGTTTGAATCTGGCACGGTATCCCTGAGCAAAGCTGGAGTGATAAGCCCTGAGTCCTAAGCACAGAGCCATCTGGATGTGGCTCCAAAACAGAAAGGTTCTATATACACAAACAGAATAAAGTATTTTTATTTGTTAATTGGGTAGGTGGGGGGCACATCTGGTGCTTCTTAGGGCTTACTAAGAAACTTCCTGTTCTGTGCTCAAGGATCACTCCTGGCAGTGCTCGGGACCATATGCCAGGATGGAACCTGGGCTGGCAGTGTGTAAGGCAAACACCCTACCTGCTCTATTACCCTCCAGCCCCAGAATGAAAGATTTTTAATTGAAATAAAATACTTTGTTTCTATGAATTTAAATTATTTTAACTGTTAAAGGAAGAGGGCAGTCAGCTGTTGACAGCTTGACACTTTAGTTGAAGGGGATTTGTTTCCATGTGGAGACAACAGCTTAGATATGTAAGGAAATGACACCAGTTGATAAAAAGTATAGATAATTGGAAGACATAATTAGCCACTTACACAAGAAGAAACCATTGAAAAAAATTTATCCCACTTCATGTGAGAAATAGACATATTTATCAATGAATGAAAACAAAATCAAAACAAATTGAGATATTCATCTGAATCTACTAAACAAGCATGAGCAAATGATTTCTTTGAAAGCTCTTGTTTTGGTTTGGGGCAAATTAGCATATACTTTTGCTTGGAGGCCATACCCTGTAGTGCTCAGTACCTTTATATGTTATTCCTGACTCTGTGCTCAGGACTCACCCTTGGTGGAACATAAGGGACTATTTGTGATGCTGGGCATTTGAAAGTGCAGTGATTTGTATATAAAGCAAGTGCCTTAATCCCTGTTCTCCAGTCCCTTTTATTTATCTATTTTTATTTTTTTATTTTGTAAATTTTTTAATGAAACACCGTGAGATACAATTACAGACTTACACACTTTTGTGATTACGTTTCAGTCATACAATGGTTGAGGACCCATCCCTCCACCAGTGCCCATTATCTGTCACCAATGTTCCCAGTATCCCTCCTGCCACCCTCACTCCTTACCCCACTGCTGCCTCTGTGGCAGGCACATTTCCTTTTATTCCCTCTCTCCTTTTGGGTGTTATGGTTTGCATTACAGGTATTAAGTGGTCGTTGTGTTTGGTCTAAAGTCTACTTTCAGCACACATCTCCCATCCCGAGCAAGCCCTTCAAGCGTCCTTTGCTTGGTGGTTCCCTTCTCTATCTCATCTGCCTCCCTCCCGCATGTGATGCCAGCTCCCAAGCCATGGAGGAATCCTCCTGGTCTTTATCTCTACTATCCTTGGGTGTTCATCTCCTATTATGTTGCTTTATATTCCACAAATGAGTGCAGTCCTTCTGTCTGTCCCTGTCTTTCTGATTCATTTCACTTAACATGGTACTCTCTATGTCAGTCCACTTATATGCCAATTTCATGACTTCATCTTTTCTAACAGCTGCATAGTATTCCATTGTGTAGATGGACCAAAGTTTCTTTAACCAGTCATCTGTTCTTGGGCACTCGGGTTTTTCCCAGATTCTGGCTATTGTAAATAGTGTTGCAATAAACATACAAGTGCAGATACCATTTCTATTGAATTTTTTTGCATCTCCGGGATATATTCCCAGAAGTGGTATTGCTGGGTCAAATGGGAGCTCAATTTCTAATTTTTGAGAAGCGTTGATATTGTTTTCCCAAAGGACTGACCCAGTAGGCATTCCCACCAGCAGTGAAGGAGAGTCCCTTTCTCCCCACATCCGCGCCAACACTGGTTGCTTTTGTTCTTTTGGATGTGTGCCAGTCTCTGTGGTATCAGATGGTTATCTCATTATAGTTTTGTTCTGCATCTCCCTGATAATTAGTGATGAAGAGCATTTCTTCGTGTGCCTTTGGCCATTTGGATTTCTTCTTTGAGAAAGTTTCTGTTCATTTCATTGCCCCATTTTCTGATGGGTTGGATGTTTTCTTCTTGTTGAGTTCAACCAGTGCCTTGTATATCCTTGATATTAACCCCTTATCAGGTGGATATTGGGTGAATATCCTTTCCCGTTCTGTGAACTGTCTTTGTATTCTGGTCACTGTTTCTTTTGAGGTACAGAAGCTTCTTATTTAAGGTAGTCCCATTTATTTACCCTGTTTCCACTTGCTTGGTCAGTGGTGTTTCATCTTTGAAGATACTTCTAGATATCTTCAAAGATACCTTTAGATACCTTCGATGTCATGGAGGGTTTTGCCGACCTTTTCTTCAGTGGACCTTAAGGACTTTGGTCTGATGGTGAGGTCTTTAATCCATTTTGATATGACTTTTCAGAATGGTTTTAGGTAGAGGTCTGAGCCCATTTTTTGCATGTAGCTGTCCAGTTTTTCCAGCACCATTTGTTAAAGAGGCTTTCCTTACTGGTATCCGACAATATCGATTTTAGGCTGAAAATTAGAAGGGTCCAGTCCCTTTTATATATTTTTTGTTTGTGGGTCCCTCAGGGTTGTGCTCAGGGGCTACTCCGGAAGCCCTTTGCTCAGGGCTTACTTCCAGTGGGCTTAGAGTACCATATGGTTCCCTCCATCAAACCTGGACCTCCTGCATGAAAGCATGTACTCAGTTTGTTGAGCTACCACTCTGGCCAGTGTTTACAGTTTTGTTCTGTGATTTGGGTTTTGAACCATACCCAGTGATGCTTAGCTCTGTGCTCCAGGCTCTGTGCTCAGGGGTCACTTCTGGAATCTCAGGGGACCATATTGTAAGCTGGGGATTGAGATCAGCTGCGTGCAAGGCAGATCTCTTACCTGCTATCTCTCCCAACGTATTTCCTGTAATTATAAATGTGCTGCTTTAAGAGGAAAATGAAAAAGCACAATAAGAACCTTAAAACTAATGGTCTTTTTGGAAAACTTGGGACATCAAACTGACAGAAGCAGTTACAGTTGTATTATTTGTATAGCACTGTAGAATTGTCTTCTTGTTGTTCATTGATTTGCTTGAGCGGGCACCAGTAACGTCTCCATTGTGAGACTTGTTACTGTTTTTGGCATATTGAATATGCCACGGGGAGCTTGCCAGGCTCTGCTGTGTGGGTGGGATACTCTTAGTAGCTTACCAGGCTCTCCGAGAGGGACAGAGGAATCGAACCCGGGTTGGCCATGTGCAAGGCAAACAAACACCCTACCCACTGTGCTATTGCTCCAGCCCATTATTTGTATAACAAAATTTATTTTCATTTTTAAGTATATCAGAGCTGGAGCAATAGCACAGAGGGTAGGGGTTTGCCTTGCACGCAGCCAACCTGGGTTCCATTCCTCTACCCCTCTTGGAGGGCCTGGCAAGATACTGAGAGTATTTTGCTTTCACAGCAAAGCCTGGCAAGCTACCCGTCACATAGTCTATATGCCAAACACAGTAACAACAAGTCTCACAATGGAGACATTACTGGGCCTGCTCAAGCAAATCTATGAACAACGGGAGGACCGTGCTACAGTGCTAAGTATACAATTCACTAGTGTTACATATGCTCACATTGTTGTACTGTGAAGGGAAATCAGATTTCTGTACCAATCAAATGGGCCTGTACCCATTTTAATGAGGGGTGGTCTGATTCCTGTGAATAGTCATCTGGCTATCTTTCTGTTTTCTGCTCATTTCCAATATCATGGGAAGCCTGGCTCTTGGTCCTGCTTGTGTATCACCTTGTCCTGTGTAACCCAACACGCTTTCCATTCTTGAGCATAGAGATCCCAGCTCAGACCATCTCCTAGTCCAGTGATGAGCCCTGTGTACATATAAACTGAATCTGCGGCCTTGTGCCTAGCCTTTGGATGTGACTCTGCTAGTCTGTCACCTGTACTAAATAAATACATTTATTTTCTTGTTCCTCCTAGTGTCTATCTTTGTCTGTTCCCTTTGCTGGACTCTTGCAACATTTCAGTCATCACTACTGATCACCTCCTTAACTCCTTTACCTTAAAATGAAACTGTTTATAGTGTATTATTTTTCTTAATGTTAAATTATGGTAAGGAATTGTTATAAAGTACTACTGGGAAACGGGCTGGAGCAACAGCACAGCAGGTAGGACATTTGCCTTGCGCATGGTTGACCTGGGTTTGGTTCCTCTGTCCCTCTCGGAGAGCCCAGCAAGCTACCGAGAGTATTCTGCCTGCATGGCAGAGCCTAGCAAGCTCCCCGTCACATATTCAATATGCCAAAAAAACAGTAACAAGTCTCACAATGGGGATGTTACTGGTGCCCGCTCGAGCAAATCGATGAACGATGCCAGGACAGTGCTACAGTGCTACTGGGGAAACATTCTTGTCTTAGGACTTGAATCTGTCTGTGACTCAGCTATTTATTTGTATTATCTTACAGAAGTAGTAGTGATTTTTAAGGATCAAAAAATAGTGAATTTTGGTGTTGGAATATTTAATGCCTGTACCAAATCTTTGTAAACTATGGTGTTTAAATAAAGTGGGGTGAGGGGAGCAATAGTAAATCTACAAGGCCATTGTGCAACTTTAATTTTGTAATTGTTTAGATCCAAAGAGGTGATATGTTTCTGAAGTTGATTGGTGTTTAGCTTTAATATAATATTGGAAATGCATTATTAGTATATTACTAGAGTTTTAAGAATTTAAAGTAATGCTCATGCATATAAGTAATTTGGGGAGGGACTTTTATTCAGTGTTACTACATTATTTTTTAGGTTTCTACAGCTGAACAGTGCCGTTCTTCTCCCAAAACTATGATTTCTTGCAATAAAAAATCCTTGTATCTTCCCCAAGAAATGTCTGCTGTCTACATAGAATTTACAGAGTATTATTATCCAGATGGAAAAGATTTTCCAAGTAAGTGCTTTTTTCTGTTTTGTTGTTTGAGGATACTTGGGGGATTATTGTTTTTTTGTTTCATCTCTAGCTAAGGTAACCTTTCAAATGTAGTATGGAAAAGGGGGCTGGAGGTTGGCAGGGAGACGATTTAGAGGGCCAGTCTCCCAGCACTGTGCGAGGTTCAAGGCAAACCCAAGCAAAACCAAATCAGGAAAAAATATGTAAAAGCCCATGATTCTTCAGCTTTTTTTAATGTTTATTACACATATAACTCTAATATTTTAGCAGTTTATTACTTCTTAACTCTTAGTTTCCCTAGCTTCTTATAAACTTCCTTAATGCCAGGAATCAAGTAGTATTTATATAAGCTTATGCTTCATTTTATCCCTTAGTTTAGATTTTTTTTTTTTTTTTTGGTTTTGGCCACCCCTGGCGGTGCACAGGATTTACGTTTGGCTTTGAAGGGGCTAAGGGACCACAAGGGGTGCTGGGGATCAAACCCAGGTCAGCAGCATACATTGCAAGCACCTTACTTGCTGTCTTGTCTCTTTGGCCTTGTTGAGCTAACTTTTATACCTGGTATTTTTTCCCCTCTTTTTCCTTCTCTTAACGGGGTCCCACATTTGATTGTGGTGCTTTCCCCAAGGGGCATGGCCCTAAGTTTTTTTGTTGTTTTGTTTTTATTTGGGGTTTTCAGCCATACCCACTGATGCTCAGGGGTTGCTCCTAGTTTGGTACTTGGAGGTAGTGCTCCTAATTTCTTTAATTACTTTGCCCATTTGCCTATTTTTCTAACATCAGAGTTTTTAGTTTCAAAGGGTAATTGTCCTGCTTACACCTTTGTTGTTTAATTAAAACTTGAGTGACTTGAAGAAATATGTCAAACTGTTACTGCTTCAGTCCTAGTCTGAGCCAAATTTAAAGCGATAGCACAGCGGGTAGGGCGTTCGCCTTACAAGTGGCCAACATGGCCGACCCGAGTTCGATTCCTCCGCCCCTCTCGGAGAGCCCGGCAAGCTACCGAGAGTATTGGATATGCCAGACACAGTAACAACAAAGTCTCCAATGGAGACGTTACTGGGCCCGCTCGAGCAAATCGACGATCAACGGGAGGGCCTTTACCTTTTTTACCTTTTAATCATACCCAAATTTGATTTTTTACAGTGCTTTGTGTATTATCAGTTTGTCTAGTCTGTCTTCAAATTAGATATTTATGATTTAACACCTAGTAAATAATTAAATGAGGGGCCAGAGCAGTAGTACAGCAGTTGGACACTTGTCTTGCATGTGGCTGACCAGGGCACCACTTATGCTCCCCAAAGTCCACCAAGAGTGATCCCTTAGTACAGAACCAGATGTAGGCCCTCAGCAGTGCTGGGTGTGGCCCAGAGACAAATAAAACTAAATGAGAGTCTCCTAATCCTTATCCTTTGCCACTATTCTTACTCCTTCTACCCCCACCCCACCTGGCTATTCATAGTCATTTGTTTATTAGATATTTCCTGTGTGTGTGTGTGTGTGTGTGTGTGTGTGTGTGTGTTTTCAGGCTTTGATTTTGGGCCACACCAGCTATTCTCAGGCATATTCCTGTCTCTGTGCCCTGAATCACTCTTGGTGATTAGGTGATTAGGAAACCCAAGACATGCACCCTACCCATTGTACTTTCTCTCTAGCCTCCCAGTGTATACTAATCTTAGTTTTATTATCTGTGTTTTTGTGTTATTCAGAGGGCCAGTAAATTGGTGATGAATTTCTTTAACTCCAGAGCTCTTTATTTTTACTTTCTGTATGTAAGTGATCAAGCGAGCTTTTGCCCTTCTGCTCCACGGGAGGTTTCTGTCCTCCCTGAGCTCGCCTTAGGACCACGGCAGAGTCTGGCAAGCTGTCCGTGACGTATTGAATATGCCAAACACAGTAACAACAAGTCTCACGATGGAGATGTTACTGTGCCCGCATCGAGCAAATCGATGAGCAACGGGAGGACCGTGACACCATGTAAGTGATAATCTAAGTGATAATCTAGCTGGGTAGAATATTCTTTTTTGTTTGTTTTTAGGCCACACCTGGTCTTTCTCGGGTTCTGTGCTCAGGGATCAATCCTGGTAGTGGTGTGGGGGCTGTATGGTGCCAGGATTTGAACTTGGGTGTATTCATGCAAAGCATGTGACTCTCATCTACCCTGGGAAGTGCTGTTGGTTGGAGGTCTTCTCCATTCAGCGCTTTGTATACGTCATGCTGCTTTCTTTCTGTCTGATAGAGTTTCTCAAGGAATTTACTGATAATCTAATAGTTTTTTTATTTGTGAGTCTTCCCATTTTTCTCTTGCTGCTTTCAGGATTTTTTATCTCTGATTTTTTTTTTATCATTTTAATTTCAGTGAGTCTTGCTGTGTATATACTCAGGTTTATTTGGTTTGGAACTCTGTGCTTCCTGTATCTGAGTGCCTTACTCTTCTTTTAGCTTGGGACAGTTTTTGGCTGTTCTTCAAATAAGAATTCTGTCCCTTAGGGGCTGGAGAGATAGTATAGTATGTAAGACACTTGCTTGTACATGACTGACCCAGTTGCCATCCCTGGCACCATATGGTCCCCTGAACCTGCCAGGAATGATCCCTGAGTACAGAGTAAGAATTAAGCCCTGAGCACTGCCAGGTGAGGCCCAAAGTCTAAATAAATAAATTTTAAGAAGAAAAAGAATTCTGTCCCTTAGATAACTGGAAAAAGAAGCTGTGATAAAATACACAATGGAATACTACTCAGAAAAGATGAAATCATGTAAGCTGTCTTTAGATACATGGAACTAGAGGTTGTCATGCTGAGTGAAGTCAGGAGGAGAAGGGCACATAAAGAAGCATCTCTTTTTTTTTGTGGGATATAACCCTAGTAAGGGAATGACAAGTGGTCAGAGATGTCAGACCCGCAGGGCAGGGTGGATGGAAAGTGACCTGAGACTTTGGTGAAAGGATGCTGACACTTTGGTGGTGATTGTGATATTGCATGCCTGAAATTGAAACTGTTAGACTTTCCTAAATCATGGTGTCTCATTAAAAAGAGAGAATTGAAGTGCCCTTTATTTTTGTCCTAGAATCTGCATGATGTGAATGCTACCCCATATAGCATTATATTATCTTCATTGTTTTGTTTTCTGGTGTTTTCCAGATAGTGGGGCTGTCAGGATGGCCTCAGTGTATGATATGAAGTAACTCTGGGATTGGAATTCATGTTTTGTGTTTGTGTGTGTTTGTGTGATGGGGGTAATTTGGGCCATACCATAGTGCTCTGGGGCCGTTCAGTGGCTCTGTGCTTAGGCTTCACTTGCACAGGAAGTACCTTATGTAACGCTGGGGAAAGAACTAGGGTCTGCCACATTCCAGAGAAGACCTTTGCTTTCGGTACGCTCTTTCTGGTCTCTGAGCCTCAGGCTTTCTCTTGCCACTTAAGTCACTCCTTTCCTCACCTAAATTTGAAAATAGCAGCGTTCTAAGGATTCCTTCAGTGCTTGGGGCAGCCCAGGCTTTGAATATTCTCTCAAGCACATTCAGGCATGTACTTTAAGTCACTGAGCTTTCTATCTTAATATTAAAAAAAAAAAAAGAAGTAGTTTTGGGCCATACCTGGCTGTGCTCAGGGCTTATTCCTAGTTCTGTATCCAGGGATCACTCCTGGTGGTTTTGGGGGACCCGGTATTGGGTGCTGGGGATTGAACCTGGGTCCTCCGTGTGCAAGCAAGTGTCCAGCCCACTTACTGTCTTTCTGGTCTCTACCTTCATGACTTTTGTCTTTTCTGCTTTTGGAAGGTTTCTGTTACCTTACGTTCAGGCTCACTGATTTTCTTTTTCCTTTTTAATTCTACTCTTGAGCCCTTCTGTAATATTTAGTTCAGCTACTGTAATTTTTAGCTCTATGATTTATTTTTTGATTTGTTTTTGGTCACACGTGGTGATGCTCAGGGGTTATTCTTGACTCTGCACTCAGGAATGACTCCTGATGTTTCTTGGGAGATCATATGGTATGCCAGGAATTGAATTTGGGTCTCTCATGCAAGGCAAGCACCCTACCAGCTATAGTGTCTCTCCAGCTCTAGCTCCATGAGTTCTGTTAAAACTCTTCTCAGCCTTTCTTTCATACTTTGCTTTTGTTGATGTTTTCTTTCATTGGTCTCAATTCAGTGATCATCCTGAGTGTTGTTTTGAAGTCATCTTCAGATAGTTTGTCTAACTCTTGCCAGGAATTCTTGCTACTCTGTGTCTATGTGGGTTTCTGTTTCCTGGGAGGAGGGGCCACTCCTGGTGGTACACAGGGAACCATATGAAGGACATCAAATTATGTTAAGCCACATGCAAGGCAAGCATCTACCCCCAGTGCAAGCTCTCTAGCCTCATCCATACAATGCCCCATCAGGGTGGAAAGGGAACTTTCCATAGGGTGAAAAGTGCAAATTGGCAGTGACCATGGGTTCAAGATAGTGTTTGTGACACCTGTGTACTGAACTCAGGAGGATCTGGTTATTGACCTGGAGTTCAAGGGCACCAGTGAACAGCAACCACCAGATTTTGCAGGGTCTCAGAGACTTGGGTGTTAGCTGGGAAACTCATGTAGAGGTGGAATTAAGAGTAGGCAGCAGACCCATTTTATTCAGATTGGTTGGCAGAGAGCAGGTTCTGGCTGGAGGAGCTCAGCTGGTATTTGGGACCAACTATGTCTACTTTAGGAGGCTTGAAGGGTGCTTTCTGTTTATAGGGGTGTGGCTGGCTTGCTTCTTGTCAGATGTGAGCTGACAAGGACTGGGGTATTTATTTGCCCATAGGAAGCATTTCTGTTTTGTTTGCTCAACTGTATGGATGGATGGAACACTTCTCAGTAATTCATCCTGAGGTTTTCTTTTTTCTTTTTTGTTATGTAGGAGTACTGCTATTTATTCAGCCACTGATTAGCTGATTGAATTGTGCATGAACTCCACTTTACCTTTTTTAAAAATTTTTTATAATTTTATTTATTGAATCACCGTGAGAGCAGTTA